TTCACGACTGTGAGTTTCAAGATACGTCTAAACGATCGTTGTTTAAATTATTTGCAAGTGTAATCAAAACCTTTTTTTTTTTCAAATTTTTTTTTTTTTTACTTTTCCTTTTTTTAATTTTGTGTTATGTATTTACTTTGTTGAGAATTACAATGTACAACGTAACCATGCATCACACGATTCAATTATGTATAGATCAATTAAAAAACAAACAAAAAAAAAAACAATTTCCGTATCATAAGATACAGAGGATTCATGACGGCCCATGGGGAAGTCTGTGGTCGGTTCGGGGGGTGGAGGGAGCTGACAACATGAATTCACCGCACCGGGTGACACCCACCCCTGTGACGCCACTGAATGTTAATACAGAGGTAAAATTTTATCCCCAAAGAACACGACTCAACCAAAAGAGCAACATGAATATCCATTAAAGATGATACATTTGATATAAATAGAGTAAACTGGAACACGGCAGTCGAGTCACGGAAGACCACGGCAGCACGAGATCGCTCTTGTGGTCCATGCCACGCGACTGGCATATCTCATAGTCATAGCGAACCTTGAGGATCCGATCCGTGTATTTGGGGATGGGCACGGACAGGCCCTCGAAGCGGCCGTAGGTCAGCGGGAACGTCTCCGCCTTGGCGAAGACGAGATAGAGGGAGGTCGAGCTGGACACGGCCCAGATGAAGTTTTCATTTTCCGTGTAGAAGAAGATGTCGACGAAGGGGTACCCGAGACGCGGGTCCGTGGAGTTGGGGTAGAACTTCCAGTGCATGTAGGTCGTCACGGAGAGCAGGAAGCCGTCGATGCAGGAGAGCCCGTGGCGGACCAGCTTCCAGTCCGTGACGTTGACGGTGATGTCGATGTCGTCGTCCCAAGGGATGACGCCCTGGTGGCGGTGAGCCCCGAGCAGCGAGCCCTGGACGAAGAAGAACTCCACGCGCATGTTCCTCAGCGCGTCCGCCAGGACCAGATACGTGTGCAGCATCCGCATCTTGTCGCTCACCGTCAGCGACGGCAGGAACCGCTCGTGGTCCTGGCTGCGCAGCTTGGAAGACGTGATGTCACGGTAGAATTTGACCTTCGCCGTGTCGATGTCGCGGAGCCTCACGGCAGTGAATGTCTTGGCCGGGCACGAGGCCACGGGCTCGACGCCCATCTCGTTCTGCGTGAAGAACTTCAGCGAAATAGCGTCCAGCGTGCTCAGCTCTCGCCACGCGTAGGGCCAGACCGGCTGCAGGACGATGTTTCTCAGAAAGGGCGTGAACATGATCATCATGACGAGCGAGAAGATGCCGATCAAGTACACCATTTTAGCATAGGAACACATGGCGATTGGTACACACTTGAACGTTATTTTCCTCATGCTATATCAATGATATGACAAATCTGGAATGTGGGTCCTCGCTGGTCTGCTAAATGTCTGTGCAACTACGAGTTAAAGTCCGGACCCCCCCGGCGCTTGCACCATGGTCTCGGCCAGTGAGCGAGGCTTAGAGAAAACGAGTTTCATCTATTTGATGCCACGGCGAATCGATCTACACAAACGGAGCACAGCCTAGGCCTACCACATCCATCTACTGCCATGATATTACAGCACGCACACAACTAAACCTGCCCGAATGTCTAGAAACACCAGCCTAGGCCTATATATATACACACCACACACGCTGCATCCGTCCAAGGAATCTCTACACAAGAGCCTTACACGAGTTTTCAACGAATTCCGTCTCTTTCGAAAATAGCCTTATTCCACAAAACCGAATCTGATGTTTTACACAGAGTCATAAAGCAAACCAAGGCTTGCGGCACATTGAATTTAAAAAAAACAGCAACACACCGACAAAGTACATATATTGTTACATCGAGCCCCATTAAAAAATTTCCCCAAGTTGGATACTAGTTGCGAACAAAGAGCAAGCGGTAGACCAGGCCTGGCAGCACGCGCACAGGACAACGCGCCGCTGCTCACGACTCACGGGCTGGTGTGACATTGCTGGACAGAATTCACCACGCAGAGCCAAAAAATCGATGAGCCGCCCTGAATTCGTGTAGCACATAGGAATGTAACCCTGGAGCTGGGGGTGCGATTGGGGGGGGGGGGTTGGGGGGGAGGGAGGGGGGGGCCTACTGGGGGGGTTTTGTGGGGGGGGGGTGGGGGGGGGTTGGGGAGGGGTGCGATTGGGGGGGGGGGGTTGGGGGGCAGGGATGGGGAGGCCTACTGGAGGTGTTTTCTGGGGGTGTGATGGTGGGGGGTGGGGGAGGCCTACTCGGTGTTTTCTGAGGGTGTGGTGTGGGGGGTGTGGGGGCAGACATGTGGAGGAATAAGGGTTGCAATTTAAATTGATTAAATTTAACATAAGCAATAAAAAACATATGTAAATGGGTTGGGTAATGAAGCATTAAAGGATACAATATAAATGTATGTGATTAGTAAACTATTTAAAAAAAACCCACATCAATGGGTGCCTTGAAGTTTTGGCCTTGTCTTATGGGCGAACAAAAACTTACAACATAGCAACAACAACATACTTTTGATTTCCTGTATGAATATAAGCTGGAGAACAACAGCCTATATATATAAACATATATATATGGATGTATGTATATATAAATATTAGTATTAGTATTCTTTTTCGTCAATATCTTCGTGAGAGGTCTGCGTCTAGAGTCAAGACTTACTTAACGATTGATTTCAATGAAGCATCAAATTACTGGCTCGGCTACACATAAATTAAGTCTAGGAGGCCACGTACTCGTGTTTGTTTCGCTTCTTCTACGGTAGTCAGTATAGTTTCAACATTATTCAGAGTTTAGGGTTATTACTTTGTCTTCTTTTATTTCCCCCAAATTAAATATCAAAAAATTGTCACAGATCTCCCCGCAAAGGGTAACTCAGAAACCAAGGATTAGTCCGTAAATAAATACAAGGGGTGGTTTATCAAGTGCCACTATTCCACCCCCCCCCGCGTGCAGTTGTTCGAAAGTGACGCCCCTCGATGTAAAGAAGAAAGTGCCGCCCATGGCAGTCCGTTCCCTTCATACGCCACTGGATACATGAAAACTTCTTCTGCTTAAAATGGTTTTTAAAAATCCAGTATCTGTCTGTGCAATAACTGAATCAATAAGAAGATTTGTGTTTTCTCCTTTCATTATTGAGAGAAACTCCTTTGTCAACGAAGTTGTAGACAGACCCCCTCACCGAGAAATCCGGTTTTAATTGTACCCTATCAGTGAGACGTACATTTGTAGATGGACCACCCTCAATGAGACATAGGCCTACATTGTTGAAGATGGACCCCCCTCAATGAGACATAAAGTTGTAGATGTATCCTCTCAACAAGACATACAGTTTTAGACCGTACCTCTCACCGAAACATACAGCTGTAGACAGACCCCGTCACTAAAACATACAGTTCTAGACAGAACCCCTCACTCAGACAAATTTCTAGACAGACCCTCTCAATAAGACACAGTGTTGTAGAAAGTACCTCTCACTGAGATATTATACAGTTGTAGACAGAGACCCTCATTTAGACAGAGTTTTAGACATTCCTTCTCACAGAGACATGCAGTTGTAGACCAGACGCCCCTCTTTAAATTATATAATTGTAGACAGTCCCTCTCACTGAGACATGCAGTTGTAGACAGACAGATCTAAGATAAGGAAACTCTGAATTCAAACCCGGAGTTGGAGTCCCGCAAGGCGCATACAATGACAACTCCTGCAACCGTAATCATCCCTGGTCGTCTTGACGTAGAGTCTTGCCACTGGTTATGGTGGGCCCGGACGAGAGAGTGAGGTTGACGCCGCGCAACTCTTCCTCACTTTAAACAAAAGTCACCTGCGCAAGTCATCAGTCACCGGACGACTCGATGGTCCTCGTCGATCCTCGACGGACGAACAACCAGACAGACGCCCCTCTTTAAATTATAAAATTGTAGACAGTCCCTCTCACTTGAGACATGCAGTGGTAGATACCAGTTTCATAAATTATTTCACTATTCTTTGTGGGTTAGGATCTGAAAATGAAAATAATAAATAAACCACTGACATCTCTTGTGGGTAGGAACATTCACAACAGCTTAATCATTCAGCAGACCCACATTCTGTCAATCCACACAGGGCCAGCGCTAGGAGGGTGCGGGGTCTTGGGCAAATTGAATTTTGCGGGGCCGTTGACGTTACACATTCCGCCGATAGGATATTAAGACACGTTATAGTCGTACTGGGGCCTTGCTGGTCATAATGGGACGCGTCGTAACGGATATTTGTTCACTCGCCATATCAGAAAGTGGGTATAATGCGACCGTCACCGCCACTCTGCGGCATCTAACAAACAACAGTAAATATCATTCGTCTTCTTATCGTGTGATGAAGGCTGAACAAAAGGTTAACGGGTCTATAATTATACAGTATAAAATTCCCTGATAATCTCCTTTCGTCTGCTTAACAACATGCGCCCAGAGGTCTTCCCGAGATTCACCTCGAAGGGATAGTTTGGGAGCCAGACTGACCTTCAGACCATTTGACTATCTAATAACTCCGAATATTGTGTTGACTGGATCAGGAACTATTAGTAGGCTTAGGTATATTATTCATATACTACGGCAACGCGCGGGGCCCTGCAAATGCGGGGCCTTGGGCGGTCGCCCACTTCACCATCCCCTAGCGCCGGCCCTGATCCACATTCTGCCAATCCACATTCTGTCAATCCACAATTCGTTGCAGATGAAGGATAGGAAACAGTTCTTCAGGAGAATAAGAAAACAAACACTTAAAAATTCAGATGTTTGTGTAGATAATGTTTTCTTTATTTCAATTGCTAAGCACATCAAAAAATAAAAAAAAATAAAAAAATACCCCAGGTCATAACTATTTTGGCGAAAACCTACGAGAATGTATTATTATCTTGAGTAGCAACAAGCTCTGATCATCTTTACTATACAAACGAAAAATTTTAAAACTTGAATTACGTAAAGTAATATCAATGAACAAAGACTCATTTTGGGTGTGAAATTTTGCAGAATAAATATCACAAAAATTATGTAAAATGAACAGGGAAATCAGTGAGGGAAGCATCTAATTCAATCTACATTCAAATATGTAGAAGGGGCAAAAATGTTTAACAAAAAAAAAAAAAAAGAAATATATATGGATAGCAAATAAAACATACATCACAAGACTTCAGAATTTCTTTGGCATGTTTTGTGAAAGAACATTAACTCTAGTGTATTTTATTTTATTACCGGATATTCCATTTTTTTGAAAATTTTTTTTTTTTTTTTAGCTTTTTTATTTTTTTAAAAAAAAAAA